AACAGCTGAGTTTTAATTATGATAACTACAGCAAAATTCAATAGAATCATTTCATCATACCTAAAACTTCAAAATCTTGGACAGCACTATATCCCCTTTAGGAAAGCAGCTGATCAGCCACAGGGGGCAGCAAAGTTAAGAGAGTGGAAAGCAAATGGCAGGAGGTGAAGTCAGGGCAGGAAATGTTAATAAGCTGGGTAATTAACCATGAATATTAGAGAGAAAAGGACAAAAAGTCTTAATTAATGAATTAAATCAATAGACAGATAATGCTAAACTAGTGATTCTCAACCATGGCTGTATAGTAATATCACCCCAGGAACTTTTAAAAGTACAAATGCCTGGGTCCTACCTTAGAACAATTAATTAGAATTTCTCTAGGGTGCAGAACTACTTTTTAAAGCTCTCTGAGTGAATACCTGGGGCTGAGAACCAGAGTGATAAACACATAAAAAATAAAAGTAAGCTAGTCTCTATTCTCAACATTTTACAAATTTTAAAAATTACATTAAAAAATAAACCACAAAAATCTATTTCCCAAATGCGTTCTTTTCATTGAGAAAGCATTGTCATCCAAGGAGGGACATAACTCATTAAGGACTAATTCATCTTTATAATTTTATCAAGGGAAAATGTTATTTTTACCAGTAAAACACGATTAAACTAAAGTTCAAAGAGGTTAAACAATTAGCCCAAAGTAACTGTAAGTCATTGATGATGCAGGAAGACAACTTGAGCCCACTCTTTATTTACGAGTGGTGCTTCATCTCAATGACCACACTATTTCAGTAAACACATTTTACTGAATTATCATTTTATTTAATTACATATTTCTGAAAATAAACTAAAATTTAACTACGAGGATGTAATAAAAATGGGGGAAAAGAAATCTGACCCTAAACAGCAATTCCAAAGACACTAAATTAGACAAATAAAAAAGTCTCTCCATGTTAAAACTTGCAATGGATATTATATCAATTTCATTAAGAAATATATCCCCAGAAAGTTTTGAGAAATTAAAATATAAGTCTAACAGAAGAAATAGGATATTCAAGAAAATAGTCCTAAAGTGACTAAAATGTTATATTCTTTTGTGAACAAACCTTTTTATTGGCATATTCTGATGAATGTCAGCTCTGGTTTAGTGCCTCCTCGATTACAAAAAGGGATTTTGGACTTTGATGGAACGATACTATCTTTGAGAAGATTTATACACGTTAAATGTTTACTTAGTAGTGTTTTCCCCTGACAAAAAAAAGTTACGATAGTTATGAAACTTCAGAACATGTCAGTGTTCTTATTCCAGTTACCCTAAAAGACCACGTAACTCAAGGGGGAAAAAATATTTGTTCCCTAAAGGTAAGCGAGGCACTTCAAATAGACACCACTGTTACTGGCCTCCATAACTCCAGTGGGACCTACTTTCTAAGAATTTACCAATGAAGAATCCGAGTGATACTTGGAAGTTCTTCACCTCATATGAAGGAGACTTCAATCTCAAAACCAGCTTCATTCAGTTCTTTGTTATTTTCTGGCTGTCTCCTATGAGAAATGCAAATCCATATGCTTCTACTGGTTAATTCAATTTCTTTGCTTGGTAATACCTTCTAACTACAGCTTCCAATATTTTAAAGAGTTTGACTATCCTATTTCCACTTCCACACTTATGCTGAAAGATGTTATAGCTTCACTTCACAGAAATCATATCTGAAAACTAACTTTAAATGAAATCATACTGTAAGTACACTAGGAAAGTTTACTATTTATGTGAACCCTTCATTTTAAAAAGTACTTTTAATCTGGATTTTCAAATATTAAAGAGAATGGAAGCTAACATTCTTTGCCTATTTTTAAGCACTTTAATTACATTATTTCACTTAATCCCCACGATCCTGGGGAGATAGAAGGTATTATCCCCATTTTACAGATAAGGAAAACAACTCAGAAAGATTAAAAATTTGCCTGTGACTCAGGACTGACTCCAATGACCCAACTCTATCATACTGCTGCCAACTTTCATAAAATAGGTTATCAGCAAAAATATTGATATCATTTGACCTGGGTTTGTGTGCTAGTTGCAACACCATCTAGATAAATAATCACAGGCCTGAAACTAAACTGTTTAAACCTCAATTTTCTTATGGATAAAGTGGGAGTCATGCTGCTCTTGTATGTTACTGGGATGACCCAATGAAATACAGTGTTTGTGAAAGTACACTGAGCTGAGGATTGTCACAGAACAGTGGGGTGTGAAACCTCAGCAGGTGTGAAAAAGCAAGGAATACCAGGGATCAGGAGTTAATACACCTTCAGGTTATTTCACTTATGAATTATAATTTTTGTTAAAGTGGAAAATAATACATACATGCTACATATTCTATAAATGTAAGGTACCTACTACTTTACCAAACCAACCTGTCAGACTTAAAATAGGTTAAACAGGCTGAAAAACTATCTACTGTAAATAACAGATTTTTAAAGTTACTAGAAGTTTAAGGTAGAAAAATTAAGTCCTATACCAACTAATTTAAATTTTAAAAAAAGATAAGTACAACAGGAAAAAAAAGTCTTTTAAAAAGACTTGTTTATTTAATACTTTCTTTAGCAAAACAAAATTTACTCTGAACATTTCCCATTAAAAACCTGCAACCCACTTACTACATGTTTTTGCACAAATAAATTTCTTGTAGATGAAAAAGGTGAGTTATTTTGTTAATTCTTATAGTGTGCTTTGAGGAAAATAGCAGGCACCTTTCCAGTTTAGACCCATGCGGACAAAGTGTAACATAAGCAGGCTGTTAAAAACACTTGAAAGATCTTGGATGCCCACAGATATCTGAATCACTCCACAGTAAGATTATATTTCAGAGTAGAAAGAAAAATTCTCTCTCCACTGGTTTTTGTTAAGGCCACATTGGGAAAGAACTACTACTGGCAGAAAAAGCACACAACGCTGTGGTATCGGGTATGCTGCCAAAGTACCAAGTGAAGCAACTGAATTTAAAAAACAAAAACAAGCACCCCCAGCCCCCACTTTTCAGTTTGGCATCTAGAGTAGAAGTATTTCTTCCTATTAGGGGTCATCCAAGCAAAGGTCTCACTTTCCTCAATCAAATTTGCAGATTATATTTTCATGCAAAATATATAGAATTAATCTAAAGTTCCACTTTTCTCTACTTGTGACCAAAATACTATAAATAAAATATTCCATGGCACCTTCAACTTGTAGAACTATATATCATATAACTTAGATGATTTCTGATTGCACATTTTCATCAGGCTTTTAAAAACAAAATGTATTAACACTTCATCTCCTGACTTAACCATGTTTTATATTCAGTTATTTGTATTAAACAAAAGTAAATATTATATTCACAAGGACAATATTAAGGAACCACAACACCTTACTAAAAAGCAAAATAAACGTGAAAGAAAAAAGCTAGCACTAAACCTTCAAACTGTAAAAATTCAACAATTTAATGAAAAAATCAGTAATATAAAAGTAACTATGATGATGTAATTAAGTTTTAAGATTTAAAATCCATGAACACTAAATTAACGTCCTAATAGGTAAGGTGATATTCTTTTATAGTTATGACATCACTCAAGAATTAAAGTCTTGGTAATGCCTACCATTGTGGTTCACCCTTGACTACAAATACATAAATTTTAGCAATTTCTGTATGCCAAAAAGCAAGTGGTAAATACAGTAAGACAGGCTACACATACCTTAGATAAAAACCTTCTTTAAAAACCCAGTTCGATTCTGGCTGTTGGATGCTCTTTAGAAGCACCCCAAGAAACAGTGCCATGTAAGGTCTGAATGGGGTTCCACAGCCATTGTATGTAGGTCAACTGTGATTTGATCTGGGGTTTTCTTTAAACTCCTAGCCAAACTAAGGCTGGATTCCTGGGCAAATTAGAACCAGATTGGCTTGAAGAGACTAAATGGATTGAAAACTCTGCTGAACATTTATCTATTTCAGTATAAACCTTTGGTTTCCTGGCCTGGCAAAACGGACGATCTAAATTCTAATAGCTTTCTTTCGTCAAAAAATTGTTTTAAATGTCTAGGAGCATTATCATCTTGTGCCATGATGATTTTGATCTCAAAAAAAAAACCCCACACCGAAGACAACAAAATTAAAAGGTAGTAATCCGCGACGATTAAACTAGAACACCGGGAGACAATTTACTAAATTTTTTCTGAATTTAGTGGGAAAAGTGAGCCAAATTCTGCTGCAAGGCAGTAAGCACGGATACCAACTTGAATTAGTGTACAAACCGACACAGCCCCTGGGATCACTCACTGCTCGGCGAACTAAGTTCCCATTCCAATGCGAAGTAACACTACCTACTCCTTTATTCCGTCTCCAAACTCACCGCGTAAATCTTCTCAAAGTAAAGTCTCTCCAGTCTTTGGGCCACACGATAACATTCAAACCTAACGACCCAGTTCATAAGGCACTATACAGGTCAGATTTTTAGGCTTTTTCTTTCTAAGTACATCTCAAGGCCAAGTAACCCTTAACCGTTGCCTGCATTACGATTCCCAGACTGAAGGACTCTTAGGGACAATTCATGGGAGGGGGTGGGGGAGAGGGTGGGTTCGGACGCTTCTAAGGGGAAAAGGAAAGGACGAGCTGCGAGGGTCCGAAAAGAGGAGGGGGTCTCGGGAAAGTAAAGGTCGGAAGGTTAGGCAGCTTGTTAAAGCCAGCCTGGGGAAGGGGAAAGCACGCCCCACCCCGCTGGACGCACTTGGAGAGTCCCCGTAACCCGGCAGGTGAACGAGCACCAGGTGGTGGTGGTTGGGGCGGGGGCGGGGGGGTTCGCGGCCTCCTCCCAGCTGGGAAGAGTTCAGGGAAATCCGGGAGAATCCGAAAAACCTGTTGGAGTCAAGGGGGGAGGGGGCGCCAAAGCATCGCGGGGCAGGAGGGACCCCAGAAGGAAATGGCTCTGCGGCCGCTCCTGGCCGCACTGCGCCCCCGGTCGGGGGTTACCTTTGAGCTGGGGCAAGGGGTGCAGCTCCGCCTGGCTGCCCTGGCTGCGGAACTGCGACGAGCCCTGGGAGCGCTTCTGCCTCAGCGCCTTGCGCACCGATTTCCGGGTGAAGCCGTCCACTTTCTCCGAGGCCGAGATGGCGGCGCTAGCAGCCCCCGCCGGCAGCGGCGACGACGACGACATCTCCGCGGCCCTGCCGCTTGGCAGCTCTGGCTGCTGCTTGCACGGAACGGGCAGCGGCGGGAGGAGGAGGCGCGGGGGGTGGGGAGGCGCGGAGCGGTCGCGCCCCTCCGCCCGGTCCCCCCGGCCACACCGCCTTCCCGCTCCCCGGCGCGGCCGAGCTTCTCCTTGCCCCGCGCCAACGCCTCACGGTCGCATCTCGGTGCTGAAGATTCCTGGTCCCCGCCGCGCGGCGGGCTCCCGGGGCTGGCGGAGGCAAGGGCGGAGGCGGAGGAGGGCGAAGAAGTTGTTGACACCGGGCGCGGAGGGCGGGTGGAAGGGAGCCTGAAGTTTAGGCAGCTGAGGCGAGGGAGCAGGGGTGCAGGCGCGGAGGGGTGCCTCTCGTCCCTTCAGTCCCGGTGGCCGGTCGGCCAGCACCTCAGTGGCCGCTGCCAGCGCTGCCCGCTCTCCCCGGAGCTTCCTCCCGAGGCGCTGCCATCGCAGGTCCCTTCTGAGCCACCGCCGCGGTGCCCCCTTTCCCCTGTCAGTGCAGTCCCTTCATCTCCCGTGGCCGGGACCCGCCGCCCGGGCTCTGAGCGCGCACACTCGCGCTCCGCACAGAGCGGAGCGGTCCGCGCCCCCTCCCCCGCGCGCCCTTCCGCCGCCCACGCAGAACCCCCTGCGAGCCTCCGCTACAACTTGAGAAGGTGGTGGGGACGCGCAAAGAGGGGAGTGTGTGTGTGCACGCGCGGGCGCGCGCCGAGGCGTGTGGCCCGGGGGGAGGGGCCTCGCGTGGGGTGGGGAGGAAGGAGATTGACAACTTCCGTGGGGTCCCGTCAACCCCTCGGGATACTCTGGAGGGAGTAGTGGGTGGTAAAGCATGCCAGCTCTCAGCCAATAGCAGGGCTAAGCGGCAGTAACGCGGTGAGGCACAGCCTCCTGGAACAAGTCTCAAGCCGAGACTTTAGGCAAGGGAATGGGGAGTGGTTGTGTGACGGATTTTGGTCACAGCCAATCGTAAGTGAGGATGGCGAACGGAGTGCCGCTTGCGTCACAACGGCGCAATGAATTTTCTTGGAAGGGGAAGTGCCCCTCCACCAGTGAGCATCTTTTGACGCTTGCACGACAGCTCCGGGAGATTACTGCTTTCCTGACAGTTTATGAGAAGACCAGGAAAAGAGAGGGAGTGGTTTAGAGAGCAAAACAGAATGCCCCTTCCCTCCCGTCTCCTCTCTGCCGGCCAATGAGGAACTGAAGCGACTGGTGGGGTGCTTGAGGACCGGGGCGGGAAAAAGCTCCCCGCCTTGCGTCACTGAAGAGGGGCGGGGCAAGGATAGGGTGGGGAACGACCGGTGTGATTGACGGGCTCTTTAGCCCCGGGGAGTGGGGGGGAAGGCTAGGAAGTGGGTTTGTCCAATCGGAGTGAGGTACTGGGCTTCTGGGCGGGCCTTACAGCCTCACTGGCCCTAAACCGAGTAATTGGTAGTTGAGTAAATTGAGAGGTTTAACTACTCCAGTTCCTGACAACTGTGCTTGTGCCAGACTTGGGCAATCTTGCCCAATCTTTGAAATCTATTTCAAAGATTTCTCCAAATCTACACCCTCCAAGAAGAGGTTTCTCATATCAATTTAGTACTCCACTAATTTTCACCCCTTAATCAGCCAAAGACCTTACTGATACAGTGGTTTGTGTATTTTGGGCTTGCTGTTTACTCTTACTGGGATCTCTTCCTTGGAATTTCCATCTAGATTTTAAACTTCTTAAGGACAGGGACAGGCCGTCTAGTTTTTAGTGCAATGTTTTCCATATAATGATGCTTACTAAAAAATAAGTGAGTGTTATATGAGAAGTAAAGCAGAGAAACAGATGTTCTGTTCTCTCCCTACCTTATTACTCAAATTACAAAAAGTACTAAACAAAATTTTAAAAATTGTCATTTACGTAAAATTGGTTAAACACTTGTGGAGTAGAAGGAGTGGTAAATTATTAAGCCTAGAAAAGAAAAGTAAATAAGTGAGCTGAATAGTCTTGTCTTCCTTTGACTTGTCGGTTTTGCACTGGTGTACTCAAATCTTCATTCTTTTCCGGGAACTCTAGTCCTTTTCTGTTAGACATAATTAAAATAGTTGCAGGTATTTAAGCAAAACTACCTGATGCATATGTATGGAAGATTCCAACTTTGGGTAGGAAGTTGGGTTCTATATCTAGAACCAAAGTACTACCTTAAAATATTTTCTTCCTCAGATTCACAGAGCAATGAAATTGTACCCAGTCCTTCCAGTCAAGGAGTTTGGGGCCTCAACAACATTTTTGACACCTTTCTCTTTCTCATCCAAAATTCCAGACCAAGTTGAATGTACACCTTCACAAATGGTCAGACCAGGCCTTCTTCACAGTTTGCACACCAAACAGTTCAGGGCTTTCAACCTCACTGCCAGATCAGTCTTTAAAAGTGCCACTTTTCTGAAACACCAGTCCAAAAGAACCTATGCACACCAATGTTCATAGCAGCACAATTTACAATAGCCAAGTTGGAAGCACTCTAGGTGCCCATCAGTAAATGAATGGATCAAAAAACTGTGGTACATTTACACAATGGAATTCTTTGCAGCAGAAAGAAAGGAGCTACTACCCTTTGCAACAGCATGGATGGAACTGGAAAGCATTATGCTGAGTGAAATCAGCCAGGCAGTGAAAGATAAATACCATATGATCTCACCTTTAACAGGAACCTAAACAACAAAACAAACAAGCAAGCAAAATATAACCAAATACACTGAAATACAGAACAGGCTGACAGGGACCAGAGGGGAGAGGGGAGAGAATTTCAGGGAAAAAGGGGAAGGATTCACAGGAACAAATATAAAGGACACATGGACAAAAACTAAGGTGGGGGGAGGGAAATGGGAGGGAGGTGGGGAGCACTGGTGGGGGGGCTGGGATGGGAGTAAAAGACAGAAAACTACTTGAACAATAATTAAATAAATTTTAAAAAATAAAAATAAATTTACAATCAAACAAAAAAGTGCTACTTTTCATTTTTCCAAAGAAGACTTACAGATGGCCAAGAGGCACATAAAAAGATGTTCAATGTCAATGATTACTAGGGAAATGCAAATCAAAAACACAATGACATATCACTTCACACCTGTTAGAATGGCTATCATCAAAAAGACAAGAAACAAGTGCTGGAGAGGATGTGGGAAAAAGATGCATTGTTGGTAGGAATGTGAATTATTACAGCCACCATGAAAACAGTATGGGAATGCCTCAACAATGAAGAATAGAACCACCATATAATCCAGCTGTTCTACTTCTGGTTGTTTATCTGAAGAATATGAAAATACTAATTTGAAAAGATGCATGCACATGTATGATCATTGTAGTATTATTTACAGTCACCAAGATATGGAGCCAGCCTAAATGTCCATTAAGGAATGAATGGATAAAGATGTGGTGTTATATATTATGGAATACTAACAGCCATAAAAAAGGTGAAATCCTGCCATTTGTGACAACATGGATGGATCTTGAGAATATTATGTTAAGTGAAATAAATCAGAAAAAGACATGATTTCCTTACATATGAAATATAAAAACAATGAATAAGAAACTAACATAGAGGCAGACAACAGATCAGTGGTTGCCAGAGGGGAGGGAGGTTAAAGTGAGGGTGAAGTGGATAAAGGGGGTCAGTTGTATGATGACTGATGGAAACTAAACTTTTGGTGGTTAGCACAACGTAGTATGTACAGATACTGAATTACAGTATTGCACACCTGAAATTTTTATAATGTTAGAGATCAATCTTACCACAATTAAACTATAAATTAATTTTTTAAACTACCACTTTTGCCTTATTGTCACATTTGGCACCTACAGAATACATTCCAGAAAAACCACCTGGCACCTACAGAATACATTCCAAATTCCAGACTCTCCTCAATCTAACTCCTGTCTGCCTTCCACGCATCGGTCCTATCATGTTCCTACACAAATTCTTTTTTTCAGTTCAGACATCATCACATATACTGATCCCCTAAAAAGTAAGTGTTGTGCTTCCTTCACCCTCAGTGTTTACTGTTCCAACATCTTGAAGTAAGCAGCTTTTTCCCTATCTTGTTGAATCCTGTCTTTTCTTCAAACCTCAGCTCAACCCCTATCTTCTGATGAAGTCATTCATGATGATCTGGCCAGAGATGATGCCTCCCTTCTGCAGATTCCTATAGCATTTGTTTTCTATAGCACTCTTGGGTGTGCTCCTGTCATCCCATTCCATTGGAGGTGGCACCATGCTCTTTCTCTCCAGAAAGTGGTGGACACCAAGGGGGAAAGAGCTCAGCTATCCTACACCTCTGTTTCCCCTACTGAGCACGGGATAGATGTTCAACTAGGTGATCTAGTTCTCAAGGGCAGCATTTCTGGAAGTGTTGTCATTGGGTTGCCTGCATAAGAATCCTCTAAGAGAGTATTTTAAATTCAGATTCCTGGGCCTGACCCCGGACACACAGAGTCAGAACCTATGTGAAAAGCAATGAGAAATCTAATTTTAAGAAGCTCCCTACATCATTGTTCTGCACACAAAAGTTTGTAACTACTATTCTCTAGTCATCTGGATGTTATTAAGAATAGATTATAGATATCTAGAAGTCAGGGGAAGTATTGTTATAATAAAAAGAATTTACATAGGATGAGAAGGGAAACAAATAGCAGGAAGCAAACCAATAGACTAAAGCTAAAATTCATACTTAAATATGATAAGATAATAGATGCTGGGAAAGAGATACTGACCAGAACAGATAAAAAAATAGGTATGAGAAGCAAGTTGCTGCTAGGCTTGGAACCAACAAAACTGCTTAGGCTTTCTGAAATGGTCTCTTGGGGAAGAATTTTGAGCAACATTTAAAAAAATCTTTTTAAATTTTTTATTATGTTATTATAGTTGTTCACACTTTTTCTCCCTTTCTCCACCTCCACCCAGGCTGACCCTCTCCCTTCCATGTCCATGGGTTATGCATAAATGTTCTTTGGTTAATCCCTTCACCGCCTTTCATCCTGTTCCCCCCTGCTCCCCTCCAGCAGCTGTCAGTCTTTTCCATGTATTTATGCTCTGTTTCTATTTTGTTTGTTAGTTTATTGTGTCCATTATATTCCACATATAAGTGGGATCATATGGTATTAGTCTTTCACTGACTGGCTTAATTCACTTAGTATGATATTCCCCAGGTCCATCCATGCTGTCGCAAAATGTAAGAGTTTCTTCTTTTTTATTGCTGTGTAGTATTCCATTGTATAAATATACCACAGGGTTTTTTTTATCCACTCACCTACTGATGGGCACTTAGGCTGTTTCCAGATCTTGGCTATTGTAGACAGTGCTGCTATGTTCCTAGGGGAGCATATGTTTTTTTTGCATGTGTGTTTTAGGATCCTTAGGATATATTCCCAGAAGTTGAATTGCTGGGTTGAATTTTAAAAGGGAGTTCCATTTTTAATTCTTGAGGATACTCCATAATGTTTTCTGCAGTAGCTGTAGCAGACTGCATTCCCACCAACAGTGCACTAAGGTTCCCTCTTCTCTATTCTGACAGGTGTAAGGTGATACCTCACTGTGGCACATTTTAAAGAATGAGTGAGTTGAAACCTGAAAAGAGGAGGATGTCATTCCAGATCAAATCACCAAACATTTTCGGGGTGATGGAAAGAACGGAGCTCACAAATCAAAAGGCCTGACTTAATTACT